CCGTCTGTCGTACAAATAGAAAATATCAACCCACGGATAAAACAACCATAAGACAGAGAACACCTAAAAGTTTTCTTCCTAATTCTATTGTAATGTGGTTGGTGCACTCATAAGCAACCGGCTAAACGAAGAGAAGACAACTTCAAGCAAAGCGGTAACAGTGAATGGAGAGAAACGGTAGAAGCAGAAACTGAGGCATTCAGATGTCCGTGAAAAAACGCAGTAAAGACAAGTCAAATGCGTGACGGCCTATTTCACTGGGGAAAACGGTACGAAAACCAACGAATCAGTGAAAATGGCGCGGAGCGGCTTCCTCAAATCCAAAAATTCAAGTTTCTTAGTTTCATCCTTCAAGATAATTGGAAAGTCGACCGTGAGTCAGAAAATCGGTCGACAAAATGTGATTAAACTTGAGAAACGTATGCGCCCGACTGAGCGATGGGTAGATGTCCATCAAACTAAAGCGAAAGGTGTAAAAACTACAGTATGACCGGTGCTTCTGTACAGAGCAGGAATTTGGTCTCCTTGAAGCGCTACTAGCAACACCTGAACTCCGCATAAATGGGAATGCTTAGATGGATGATGATGTTATGAAAACCGCTCCATACTTCCATAAGAGGCACTTTAGATGTAGCGCAAATTTCAAATAAACTCACAGAAGGCAGGTCCCGTTTGTGCAGCCACGTGAAGAAAAGGTCCGTTGATTTCGTTGGAAATGTAGCCCAAACACTAATACTGCCAGGCGAAGAAACAGAGTAGAAAGCCAAAGAGAAGGTGGTGCGATGTAATAAACAGCAACATGAAACTGCAAGGAGCGACCGAAGACCGAACAGTCTGGAGGAAGTTGCCTGGAACAGCGGACGCCTGTTAAATGGATCCGCCTGGAGAAAGGTGGAAAAGGCTCAATAATAACAACAACGTGGTGATAAATAGCCATGTGGGCCTGACCCCAGTTTCACTGATGGCGAGGTTCCTTATTTATACAAAACTGGCGAGCCAATTTGGCACCATTTCCAGAGTGCTGTTTGCCAATGTAAACTTGTATGTGTGTCAAGTCGTTGGCTGTATGACCAATGACTTCGAAATTCTGAGTCATTGTTGCCCAATCCCTGCCGGATTTCTGTAGTGCATGGGTACGGAGTAGAATCATTTAAATAAAAATCTGACTGCTGTTTACAGTCACCGACTGAAAAACATTTTCTGCGCTACCCGTGCTTCCGGCCATATGATTGAGTTTTTAAGCACACGGATTGTCCAACGACGGAAAGGCGTTTGCTGCAGTTCCGATGTCAACCAGACTATATGAACGCAGATGAATACATAATTGAAACGCCAGTGACAACGCACAATCCTCAAAGAAGTCTTCAGGCCACAAGCCTCCTTCAATAATTCACCTTCCAATAACTTCACGCTTCAGTGAACCCACCGTAGCACCGTATTCTTATAAGCTTAACCGAAGAAGAACACCATTTTACTAAGTCGCCACATGAAGCCAATTTCTCGGTAAAGGGAAAGCATGGTATGATTGCAACGAAATGCCTTGAACTAAAGGTCCATCAGAATGCTGACCACCCGTTGCACAAGAGTTTTTTCCGCCAGTGGTGATGGAGAATAGACACGCTATTTCATTATGTGATCACTCCTGGAACACCGAAGCACAGAATGCATAATGACTAGTGTCAATAATGTCAACACTCAGATTTACTGACGGGTCCATTTTGAAAGAAAATTTCACCGAGCGATTTTTAAAGTCATCTGGGATTTGAGAATAGACTACTTGATGTGCCGATGTTCCTGTGCTTATCATTAATTCGTTTCTTTGTGGAAGGCTAATGAAAACTGCGACTTTTCGTCAACGATGTAAGTAAGAAAGCAATATGATTTTTGAAATCATTACTTAGATTACCCGTGGGCAGAAACAATTGTGCACACCTTCACACCATGGTCAAGACTGAAATGATGAGAAAGATAGACACCGCATGAATCATATCTTCATAAGCCACAGCGAAAT